TATAAGTTATTCACTGGAAAACCTTCTCCAGAATGTATGTTGGCATTGATTTCTGCTTTCCGGTTTTGCTTAAAAGATGGCAAAATCTCTAAAATTTCAGTCTCACAATTTTTTTATTTAATTCAACTATTTAATAAATATTTATTAAATACTTAATATGTGCCAGATGCTAAAATAAATTTTGTTAATTTTGTCTTTTTTTCTCTCTTGTGTATTTGATCTTTCTCATTCTGGAATTATTGTTATTTCAAGGTTCGAATTTCCTACCATATTTTCCAAACCTTTTACCGTCTCTGCTATTTAAAAACTAATCAATTTATGTCTCATATCTTGAGTCTTCCAGGTTCATGTTATATTTCACTGTTTGTTTTTTCCAGAGTTTTGTCATTTTTTTTTTCTTTCTGCATGACTAGGATTTTATTTTGGCTATTGTGCTTTTCTTTTTTTTTTTTTAACTCCCTTTTTATTCCAACATTTTAAAATAGTTTTTGTGTCTGCTTTTAACTCAGCAAGAATATAAGGTGAAAACATGTTCTTTAAACTCTTACACTGTTATTCCTTTTCCACTTTTCCTCAGATTTCTTAAAAGGCTCAAGTTTTGTTGGTGGTGTTGTTTACTCATTCTTGATATTGACTTGTTTCCTTTGTTGGTGCTTAAAGGTCTGATGTGAGACGTTCCCGTATAAATGGAGAAAGAGAGAGATTTCATCTATGACAGGGCACATCTAGCAGCCCAAGAACCAGAAAATGCTTCAGCCATGCTGGAGGCAGATCTTACAGTAACACAGATCACCTTTCCAATTTGGGAGGATGCAGGTGTCTTCAGAGAACACTATCCGGGACCAGAGTGAGAGGACAAGACTGCATTTGACTGGAAGAACAGACGAGGGGATCATCTGCTCCATGTCGCAGATCATCACATCTCCTGTGTGGATCTGAAGAATGAAGACGAAGCAGACAAAGGAAGGAGCAGTGTGGTGTGGAGCGCTTATCAACCCTGTCCTGCCCATGCGGACTGCCCCAATTCCCATTAAAATGTAGAATGTTTTCAACTCTGATTGTTTATATGAATAACTGCGGAGGAGTCGTTATTTTTCTTTTGAGATGATGTCATAGTTATTTTAGGGATAGGAAGCTCTTAGCATTTCCATTCACTACAGTGACTTCCTAGGAATCACCTTTGAGCATTAAAAATATGCATTAACTATGATGGCCTGGGAGGAAAATACCAGCAAAGATGCCCTACAAAAAGCTTCTGTTTTATAGATTGCAGGAAAAGATGTACATAACTGTGATCATCTTTGCTCATTTGTGGCAGCGCCTGCTGGCTGCCTGTCCAGTGTTCTTTCTCTTCTCCTCTCTCACAAACAGAACTTGAATTTTGTTTGGTGCAGCATGCATTTCCCTGTCCCTTTCAGTCAGGGGTGCTCATACAACACAGCCCCGGCCAATAACATACAAGGAGAGGGCAGTGGGTGGGGCTTCCAGAAAGGTTCTTTAAAGGGTGCTAATTCAGCCAAAGCTCTGCTCTTGGTTTTGTGTCCATCTTCGTATTCGGGACTGAAGCGCTGCTGACGTGCTGAGAACCAGAGAACAAGGCATCGCCTGAAAGATAGAATGGCAGGAACCTAAGTCTTGTTGACCTGGATCACCCGATTTGTTTAAACCACTGCCGTACGATTTTGCATTTGTTCTGTACAACTCTGCTTCCGCCTCATGCAGCTGAAGTCAATCTCTGAGAAAACATTCCGTTATGAGAGAAGAGCCCTCCTTTTTCTCTCTTTGCACTAATACTTCTGAATGTCTTCTGGTTATTGCTTGGTTAAAGTAATGTCACAGTTAAGGCTCGTATGGGGAAACTTTGAAGATCACTCACTTTCAGTGAGCATCCAGGATATCAATCACCATTGGTCTAAAATTCAGTTGCAAAAGCTGTACTGTAGGAAAACCCTAGAACACTCTAGAAAGTCTCTGAACAGAGGGAAAAAAAAGGTTGAGTTGTACAAATGGGCACTTGACATTTTTATTGGGCAAATATTTGGAGACCAGACACCAGCTTTTGGGAAATAAGACTGCACTTAGAGGCCACAGGACCTCGAGACAGTTCAGGGAAGTGCCTGAGCCCCGGTGAGGCTGTGTATCTGGAGTCTTTAACTAATGTTTTGGGGTAAGAGATGTGGGGGCTTAGCAAATTCCTTCACTGATTTTTACTCGAATGATAATCATGGAAATTACTTATAAAGCTCTTTGTTTATAATAACATCAGCTTGCATTAGTCGTTCTAAAGGGAAATAAGGAAGAAGGAAGAAATGGACCATCCTTGGGGATTGAAAGATGTTGAAGAGAAAAGCCTGAGAAGGGGCAAAAACAGAAAAAGAAAAGAGGCAGAATCAAAGGCCCCTCCCAAGCCACGTGGCGTTGTGTACTCTGGAGCTTCTTTTGGCTGCAAATTTACATTATAGATGGTTGTGTCTCAAGATAATGAATTCTGTGAGCCACAGACTTTATTAGGTCCTGCCCCTCAGCACAGAACAAGTGTAAATATTATTATTTTTTATTCACTTATTCTAAAACACTTCTAAGTACCCAAGGTGTGCCAGGCACTGAACAACTTATAGCAAAAATTTATGTTCAGCTTTACAAAGGGATTCATTACTTTGCTTTTTAATAGCTCAGAAGGCAGCATAACTTAACAATGCATTCTGTGCTACCCACCTACCTTTAAAACTTGGTTTAACACATAGGAGATGATGATACAGGGCCAACTGTAATCACATATTTAAACCTCATTCCTTCCAGAGTACAATGGAGCTTTCTTTGAAGACTGGATGCCTCTCAAATGTTATCAACAAAAGAAAAATACTCATTACATAAGCCTTGGACAACAAAAACTTAATTTCATATTATAGGCACCTAATGGGCCGTGTAAACAATGAGATATATCAGACAATAGAAAAGAAGAGATATTTTTCCTATAATGTCAATATATGACGCACTGCAAATTACTACTGGAATTTCTGGGGTTTATAAAGTAACTGCTGTTTTTGCTTTGTTGATACTTTTAACGTAATTTAATCCTATGGTTCTTCTAAAAAAGTTTCCAGTTTACCCAAAGCTTTCTGGCAGTCATGTTGTTACTGTAACTGGGATCATGAGTTATATAATATCTCATACAATGTAAATGCAGGTTTCTTCACAAAAGTGTTTCAAGGCCTTGGAGATAACTGATTTGGAAATGAAATGAAGGCAGCTCTCTACCGCTGAATTTCAGAGCGAGGGGAAGAAACAAGATAGAATGAGACTCACCAGTGCAAGTGGACGTATTAAAGATGCCCAAATGCAGACTCATTCAACATCATTAGGCTTATTAATTGACTGCAGATATCGAGAGTGAACAATCCCTCTGCCAAGTGGGGACTAGTTCACTGGCCTGTTTCCATCACTCATTCAGCCAATTCATTAAAGCCTGTTTTTTCTCCCAGGTGCCTCCTAATGAGTTTCATTGTTTTGTTTATTGTGCTTGTTGGCTCACAGATCTCTTTCACATTTTTCCTTGGTTTCTGAATGCTCCTTAAGTACCAGTTTTGATCAGCCCATTTCCAGCTAGTGCTTTACCTCGTCTTGGATAAATGAAGTAAGTGGGAGAGTAAGAAGCGGCACGGTGATAATGGGGAGGGGGAAAGGCCCGAGGGAATTCCACCAGATGCCTGTGTTCCTTGAAAGAACCAGCAGGTGGTAGCAACACGTCGTGGGAAGGTCCCAGCTTAGGGCTGTAGGCCTGGAACAATAGACCCCAAATCCCGTCCTCGTTGGAGAAGAGGCTAGGGGTGGGCGGAAACATTTTTCCTCGCGGCGGCCCCTCGGTTCCTCAAACCTTCCAGGCACCAGCTGAGTACCTCCCAACGCCTCAGATCCCTGTGCTCTCCCCGGGGAGTGGGCAGAGGGAGGAGGCACCCAGAGGTGCATGACTTGCCCGGGCAATGCAAAGCCAGGCACCTACATATGGACTTCCCCGTTCAGACCCAGGCTTCCCAGGCCTTTGGGGAGGGTGGAGTCAGAAGCCCCAACGTTGACGAAGATCCAGGGTCACGAAGAGGCAGAAGAGTTTAAGGCTAGATCAGAGACACTTTCATAACCCAGATGCCCCCCCTCCCTGCTGCTTACCCATCCCCACCCCACCCCCGTACCCTCTGAGATTTCTCAGTTTGTCTTTCCCTCCACCCCCTTCTTTTCCTTCTTTCTCTTCTTCACAGCTCACGCCCACCTTAGTTTAAACCTGAGTGGGAACTAAACAGTGGGTTTAGTTCCTAGAGTTGAAGCAGAAAAGCAGGGGTGGGGAGAGCGCGCGGGTGTCCGGGCCGGCTGCTGCGCCGCCCTGCCC